CAGTAATGCTGTGTGATAGGCATGGTGGTGCGACACCACCGATTACAGTCACCCATCCTCTGATTTTGCATTGTGAAGTGTTTTAGACTTGTAATTTTTTGAAACCTAAAAAATCAGAGTAGTATTTCCTTGGAAAATATGCCTTAGACTATCCCCTCCCCCCCCCCCCCCCCCCCCCCCAAAAAAAAAAAACACAAATCAGACTGGTTCTTTTTTAAACGTTAGCCCTGGCAAGAAGGCGTCGGGCAGAGGCACTACAGGGTCCCGCGCCAGCTGAACCGATCGCGCAGCTGCTGAAGCACTCGCGCGCCAGCAAAGGCGCTCGTGCGTCAGCTGCTGCACCACTACGAATATGGGTGGGCCCATGGGGTTGTTAAAGAAACGTAATTGGCCAGGATCTTAACCGCTTTGAAATCATGTTAAAACTAGGGTCACACATACTACAAGTGTTTTGCAGTAGATGGTGAAAGTTGGGCTGCGATTGGTTAGCGAGGTGTAAGGTTTGAAGTGGGGTGAAGCGAGGGGTGCAAAGCAAATGCAAATCGCTGAGTGTACCCGAAACTTCTAGGTTTGGAAACTTGGTTCGGAGCCTAACCTAAAATGCCCCCAACTCAACTAAAGTCTCGAGTACCCTAAAGTGATTTGCAAAACCTTCTGGGGCAATAACGGAGTGTGTCGCAACCTGAGTTTTCAACCCAACCAGAGAGGACTTCGTCTGCACTAACTAGGTAACCTAGCTTCAACTGTTTTGTTGTTGATGGCTCCTTAGCTTACGTGAGACCCTGGCTTTAAGAGGCACTCATAGCTTAGGACTAGGGTTTGGTGACAAGAGGATTGAGCAAGCCAAGAGGTTCACTGTGAAAATGAGGGTACAAGATATAGGCGAGAAACATGAAACAAGAGGTGCACCACCAACGGACTACACTGGAGCTAAAGCTCCACCCGCATATGACGCTTATCTGCCGATGCATGCGCCGCAATGAAGTCGGGGAGGTACAGCTTGTCCCCATGACCAAATCCGTGTCCCGGGGGGACATGGATGTAGCATTACTTGAGTGCGTCCGTGTTTGCTCCACAAGGTGCTAGCCAGGGTCACGTTCACCTGCAACACACATAGTATGGATTAGCGGAAGGTCTTTCAGTGAATCTGGTAAAAAACATACAACCCGGGCAATCTAGACAAACACAATTACTAACTTCTGGAACCGTCGGTTAAGGTAAGTTAGCTCAGCCAGCACGTCGACCAGGACCCAGAGCAGAAAGTGAAACTTGAATCAAGTGACTATTTCGTATAAAGGCGTCCAATGCTCTGTCAGTAGTCGAAGTACTGCTTCAACACTCGGCAAACAACGAACTGCATTGATCACATGTACTTCAAGAATGATATGGGAGAAAATAAGTTGAAGATTCATGAACAGTTGATGCTAGATGTGGTTATTCCCCATAAAGTTGGCGAGTGCGTGTACAACATCGTCAACCATATTCAACTACGACACGACAGTCGCAACATCCTTGGCGGCTAATGTTTCACTGCTCAAAGGGACTCAGATGGACGGTAGAGGAGGGGGGCTTATAGCGGAAGGGAGTGAGCATTTTAGTAGGAAAGCCATTAAGAATCACCCGAAGTCAAGTTGATCTAATAAACCAGACAGTTGCGCAAAGCTAACAACGAACAGAAGCTCAATGCAATGAGTCGACGCCAGGTGGCCAACCTTGGTGTGTAGTTGAGCAAGCACGTCGGTATGTATCCTGACAATTACAAAACCGACATCCGTGGTGATGCCCACAATCCTGTGCAGGTCCACGCCAAATAGCTACATGTAGTGTACAAGCCGAAATGTCAGTGAGGCTGCGTCAGTGCACTAAATGGTGAGGAGAGTGAGAAGCTCAGTGATTACTAAAATCCCTTCTAAGAATGTTGCATAGAGAGTGGAATGTTTGTCGTGGATCCGATCAGTACTTTCGTCGATGCTGATCGCGGTGGCGAACTTGATAAGTGGTGTAGCTGAATCTCTTTGACGTAGGTCTAGATGGCCCTGATGTTCTACGTGAAGCCATGGCTGCAGAATTCAAAGTGGGTTAGATATAAACACCAGAAACACACGGATTAGATATATATGGGTTGTATTTTCAGGGGTCAAGCAATAGGAACAACATTAACAATATCAATACAGCTCTTCTGCCTCTGCCTCGACCTTCAAGGCAGCCTTTGTTAGAAATAACGTGAAGGAATGATGACTAGAAGCATGAGAGGCGTACGAGTACAAGGTCTAACCCTAAAGTGTCGTACTCAGTAGAGGCTACCCCACTACAGCCTACAAATATACAAACACAGTTTGACACACCCCCATAGGCAAAGTGGGGGATAGCAAGAACAACCAACGGTCACAAGACCATTCAAGCAAGAGAACAAAGCAAAGCAAAGATCAGGGTGGATCTCAAGAGCATCACGCAGTCTGAGCACAAGCAAGCGACCACAAGGCCAGTTCACATGCAGAGTTATAAAAGCACAAGCAGTACAGTGATCACAACCTAGCAAGAGCAAGCATGCAGGTATAAAAATAAATATATATCACAGTACAAGACAGAGTCAAGCAACCAGCTGGTGAGGCAGAGTAGGCACAAGGCCAAGAGTAGTGCAGAAACGCTGATGATCACCAGCCCAAGGGCCTTGGTGAAAACATCAGCAGTATTGGCCCGAGAGGCCACGTAAGCAAGGCGCAGCTGACCACGCTGCTACAACTCTCGAGCAAGTAAGTAACGAAGAGCAATGTGCTTCGTTCTGTGCTCCTGTCTCTGCTCCTGACACAAGGCAATCATGGCCTTGTTGTTGACGTACAGAACTGGAGGAGAACGAGGCCGCTCACCCAAGTCGGTCAGCAGGTAGGTCAGCCAGCGTAACTCCTGTGTAGCCATAGCCCCAGCGTAGATCTCAGCCTCATAGCTGGAACCAAGCACAGAAGACGAACGACTGGACCTCCACGAGACAGAGCCGGAGCCGAGGCTGAAAGAGTAACCCTGTGACGACCGCTGAGTCGCCTGGTCGTCGGCCCAAGAAGCGTCGGAGTGTCCTGTGAGTACCACTGGACCCTGTCTGCCAAGCACGAGCCACATGCCCGATGTACTGCACAAGTAACGCAGTACCCTCTGCGCAGCTGTCCAGTGCTCCTTCCTGTGTCGCCCGGGTGCGACGAAGCGAGCAAGGATGCTGAGAGGGTACGCGAGGTCAGGTCGTGTGCACGTCATCAGGTACATGAGGCAGCCCACAAGCTCTTGATACAGGCCAATCGGCTCTACGGACTCGTCTGAAGGTGGAGCTGAGAGCGAGTGGCCTGTAGGCAGAGGAGTAGGCTGTGGCGAGGAGAACCGAAAGCCGAAGCGCTGAAGGACCTACTGCACCATGTGTGACTTGAGTCAGAGTGATGGTGTGCCTTGCTCTATCCCGGGTGATCTGCAAGCCAAGATAGCTGCGCAGCTCACCCAGGTCAGTGCAAGTGTGTCTCTTCTGCAGCTCCGCCTTCACAAGGGCAGTAGCAGAGACCAAGTCGTCGACGTACACGATGATGTAGAACGGCGGCTGTGAAGGGTCGGTACGCAGAAACAGTGACGGGTCAGCAGCCGAAGGAGCAAACCCAAGAGCCGCAAGTGTCGTCCTCAGTGTTTCGTGCCACTCGCGGAGCGCCTGGCGGAGACCGTAGACTGGCCACCGGAGGCTCCACTGGGTACCCTCAGGAAACGACCCAGTCAAGCCAGGTGGACGGTGCAGCCAGATCTCCTCGTGATGGCTGCCCTGCAAGAAAGTTGTGGAGAAGTCAAGAAAGTGCAGCTCGTAGTCACGCTGTGTTGCAACGTGCAGTAACACCCGAAGAGTAGTCATCTTCGGGGTGGGGGAGAAGGTCTGGAAGAATTCGACCCCCTGTCGCTGACTGAAGCCTCGAGCAACGTAACGTGCCTTGAAGGCAGGCGGAGAACCTGGCGGTCGCTTCACTCTTAAAATCCACATGCCATTGACTATGTTCTCCCCAGGAGGGGGAACCTCGTCGCTTCACTTGCAGAGATGACTTCCTGGAAGCGGAAGGACGGAGTACCATAGTGTGCGTGCCGGGACAGGTGGAGGACGAGGACGACGAGCACGACTGACAGTGCGAACAGGGGAGGCAGGACGAGACTCAGGCTTACGACGCTCTGCCAGGGAGCCTGTCTGTGCAGGGTAAGGAGAATGAGCAAGCGATGAAGAGCCAGACAGTAACTGCGGCTGTGACTGGTCAGGCGGAGGATACAGGAGAGGCGGAGTAAGGCCTGTGGAAGACGGAGGACTAAGAACCTGACGAAGTGCCGAGTCGGGCGGCGGCAGGTACGACTTCCGCTGGGGGTAGAAAAACGGCCGTCACAGCGCAGTACCCACAGTACCTTAGCCTCCAGCTCCAGTGCCTCCAGAACCTCCAGCTCCAGCACCTCCAGTACCACAAGCACCAGTAGCTCCAGTACCTCCAGTACCTCCAGCACCTCCATCTCCAGTACCTCCAGCACCAGCAGCTCCTGCACCCCCAGCACCAGCAGCTCCGGCACCCCCAGCACCTCCAGCTCCAATACCTCCAACACCAGCAGCTCCAGTGCCTCCAGCACCAGCAGCTCCAGTACCTCCAGCACCAGCAGCTCCAGCACCTCCAGCACCGGCAGCTCCAGTACCTCCAGCACCAGTACCTCCAGCACCAGCAGCTCTAGTACCTCCAGCACCAGCAGCTCCAGCACCTCCAGCACCAGCAGCTCCAGTACCTCCAGCACCTCCAGCTCCAGTACCTCCAGCACCAGCAGCTCCAGTACCTCCAGAACCAGCAGCTCCAGTAGCTCCAGGACCTCCAGCACCAGCAGCACCTCCAGCTCCAGTACCTCCAGTACCGGTACTCCAAGCTCCAGCAACCTGGCCCCGCCGAACAACCCAGTCGCGAAGCGGCGCAAGTACTGCAGTGGTAGTCGTAGCGGCGACAGTAGGGGCTGCAATGGTGGCTGCAGGAGGACACGGACAGCAGGGCTCTGCAGGCCACGCGGGCTGCAGGGCACGCAGGGCGCGCGGGCAGCAGGGCGCACGCGGGGCGCAGGGCGCGCAGGGCGCGCTGGCGACGCGGGCAGCAGGGCAGCAGGGCGCGCTGGCAGCAGGGCTCGTGCAGACAGCAGGGCGCACACGGGGCGCAGGGCAGCAGGGCGCGCTGGCGACGCGGGCAGCAGGGCGCGCTGGCGACGCCGGCAGTAGGGTGCTCAGGGCGTGCTGGCGACGCGGGCAGCAGGGCGTGCTGGCCGTAGGGTGCGTGCCGGAAGAAGGCGACGCGGGCAGCAAGGCGCACGCGGGGCGCAGAGCAGCAGGGCGCGCTGGTGACGCAGGCAGCAGGCGCGCGCGGGCTGCAGGGCAGTGCACTGGCAGGGCGACCAGCGCAGGGGCAGGGCGCGGGCGGTGTAGGCAGCGCGCGGGCAGCGGGCGCAGCGTGCTAGCAGAGCGCGCAGCGAGCTCAGGCAGCGCGGGTGCAGGCAGCGCGAGCAGGGCACGTGCAGGGCAGAGTGCGGGTCGCGCCCTGGACAGCTAGCGGGCAGCGCGTAGGGCAGGGCAGAGCGTGTGCGGTAGCGCAGGCAGGGCAGCGTGAGGAACGCTGTTCGGGTAGGGCAGTTCGGGCAGTTCAAAACTAGTGGTGGGCCCTAACGGAGCGGTCCTACAGAGGGACCTGCTCTGATATCATGTCAGAAATAACATGCAGGAATGATGACTAGAAGCATGAGATGAGTACAAGTACTAGGTCTAACCCCAAAGTGTTGTACTCAGTAGATGCTACCCCACTACAGCCTACAGATATAGAAACACAGTTTGACAACATTGTGCGCATGCGTATCAAAGTGTGTGCGCATGCTGCCAAGCTCGAGATCGTGACCTCCCTCGGCCTTGACACTGTAATTCATGTTGGCGCCTGGATCGCCATGCAGGAGACACATGATGCACTTCAATGGCGGCATGCCACCTTTAGACTGATGCAAACGGAGCCAAGGGAATCAAGAATACCAGTCGGAATCAAACCTAAGCTTAATGACAGCATACTCAGCGTTAGGGTCCGATCTCGTTAAGGTTTCTGTAACTGGTGCATCTAGACGTGATAGACTTGCAGCCTTGCATGGCGGCTTTGCACCCCATACAAGCTGCAGAGTATATTACACACCCCCGATGTGTGTGTGTTTAGCGGGCCCGATGTTTACGGCAACGGGGTGCTCTCTCCACGGGTGGAAGAGCGAGAACGATAGTGGGGTCTGGCTAGAAAGCTGACGATCAGTTGGGCGGCTCGAACTGATACACTCTGCCTACTAAACGGAACAGTGATTTAGATCATGGAGGTTCCTGCATTAAAGTGGAATGCGACTTGCCACGGCGAGGCAAGACCCCAAGCACTGACATGCCATTTCGAGGAGAAGCTGGTGGTACCAAGCGTGGTTCAATTGGGAAACACAATGAGAGACAGCGTGGGAAGGAGAATACCTCACCTCATTGCATTGACAAGAAAGGGATGGCAGTTATGGTTCCTTCCGAACTGATGAAAGGGAAAGGTTCTTGTATCTAGAGCAGCCACAGCCGAGGCACCGCGCTTGCGTGCATCGTGGCAAGGGATTGCAGAGAGTCACTCTACAATAGTCGTGAGCTTGACTACGGGGTGTTGGCACGAACTCTAGGAGTGATTATAGCTTTGCCTGGTACCTTAGCACTTGCACATTCACGGGAGAAATCGGCAAGAGTTTCCACTTGCAAAGTTGGGATTACAAAATGGCAATGACAATGACAAGAATGATTACAGCAGGCACCTGGCAACTGTGCAGCTAGCCTGGTCGACCGCCAGCACAGCATGGTCGACCGCCTACCAGCGTTGCGTAGAGGAGCCGTGCCAGCACTGCAGAAACGCGACCTGCCAACACAGCAGGTCGACGGCGTGACAACGCTGCAGCAGAGCGGCTGTCCAGCATTGCACCCGTAGAAGATAGCAGTGCGTACGTATGCAGATGTGCGCAGACGATTGGCCCGACTTGCACCGTTGTGCATCTGTCGGCTGTGGTCTGCGCCTGACAAGCCACATCGACTTCGGGATACCAGCCCAAAGTCGCCTTCGTCACCGCGACCTCGACGACGTTCGCGTGCCTCCGCAGAACTCGCCGAGCAGGTTACCTGGTCGACCTGGTCGACCACCCAGTGCTCTGGTCGACGCCTCCCTCGTCGACCACAGCTCCCGTCGAGGAACACCCTGGTCGACGGACCCCTCCGTCGGCAAACACTGTCAGCTGCTCCTCCTGGTCGACGGCCCCGTCCGTCGACCAGCTCGTCCAGTTGTAGTCGTCGAGCTCCCCTACTCGACGGCTCCAGCCCCGCGACAGTCCTGTGCAGAAGAAGACCGTCAAGCTCTCCTAGTCGACGGTAACACCGCAGCGGTTCCCTGCAGCTCGATGGAGCTCGTCGAGCAGCTCCCTCACTGCGTACAGTCGGCTGCTTCTCCCGTGCATCCGACCAGGACGTCGGCGTGGCCAAGCGAGGCCAGGGCCAACACTCCATTCCCGTTAACACTCCCCTGCCGCGCTCACGCTTTGGCTCCCCAGCCCACACAGCAGTACCTCACGGAGAAAACTCATCCTCGGCATGCACCCCACACACAGCACACCGTCGCCGCACCTTCCGTGAAGAAGGGCACGGCACCTACTGCTGCACCTCATCGTCCCCGTCGCCGACGTTGGTCAGGCGCACTTGGCCGATCATGACGGAACACCGGTTGAAGGTCGGAAAGTGCAGCGCCTTTGTCAGGAAGTCGGTCGGCTGCTCGGTGGTCGGGATGTACTTCAGCACGAATTTCCCGCGCTTCACCATGTGTTGCAGCCAGGCATAGCATCGCTTCATGTGCTTGAGGTTGCCCGTCAGCCCCAAGCCTCAACGACCGTTATGGACGACTTGTTGTCCACCCGAAGGACATTCGGCTTCCCATCGTCGAGCTGCTGGAATTCCGCAAGGATGAAGCGAAGTCGGCGTGACTCCTTGCCAGCGTCCGTGGCCGCCACATACTCCGACTCGGTCGACGACAGTGTCACGCACTTGATGCGTGAGCTTGCCCAGGAGGCAGCGGCCCCTCCGTAGACGAACACGTAGCCGCCCGGGCTCGTCCGGTTCTGCTTGTCGCCGGCGTCATCAGCGTCCACGTAGCCGTCCAGCTTCAACAAATCTGGTTCACCGCCGAACTCCAGGGCGGTGTCGCGGGTGTCGGCGAGGTAGGCGAGACAGCGGTTGACCTCGCGCCAGTGCTGGTCGCTCCTCACCGTGAGGCCGCTCCCCAGCTTGCTGCAGGCGAACGCGATGTCCGGCCTCGTCGTTGTCGCCGCGAACTGCAGCGAGCCGACCTTCTGCCGGTACTCCTCCTCCTCGCGCTCCTGGGCCTCCTCGTCGTCGAGCGTCATCTCAGCGTAGGCGTCGACGGAGACCGGCGTCTTCGGAGTCCGACCGCCCTGCTCCTCCTCCACGAAGCGTCTGCGCATCTTGTCGGCGTAGCCCTGCTGGTGCAGCCACAGCTTCCTTGCTGGCCTGTCGCGCACGATCTCCAGCCCGAGGTACTTGACGACCGGCGAGATTTCGCGCAGCTCGAAGGCAGCCTCCAGCAGCTCCTTCCGCTCCTTCAGCATCGCGGTGCTGCTGCTGGCGACGAGCAGGTCGTCGACGTAGACCAGCACCTAGCAGGTCACTCCGTCGTCGCCAACCTTGAAGTAGAGCGTCTCGTCGACTTGGCTCTTCTTCCAGCCAGCGCCCAGCAGCACGCCGTCGAGAGCCCTGTACCACAGCAGCGGCGACTGCTTGAGCCCGTAGAGGCTCTTCAGGAGCTTGCACACCCGGCCGGTCCCGTCGTCGAAGTAGTCCGGCTGGTACATGTACAGCACCCGGTCGAGCTTACTCTGCAGGAAAGCGTTCTTCATGTCGAGTTGCATCAGGTTGAGGTCGAGGACGGCGACGATGCTGAGGAAGATCCTCAGCGTGACGTAGTTGTTCACCGGCGAGTACGTCTCGTCGTAGTCAGCGCCGTACACCTGCGCGAAACCCTTCACGACCAGCCTCGCCTTTTCGCGCTCGACGGTGTCGTCGATGCGGTCGATGGTCATTAGCACCCACCGGTTTTTGATGGTGTTCACCCCGCGTGGGCGTTCGACCAGCTCCCAGGTGCCCATGCCGATGAGGCTGCGGATCTCATCGTCCATATCGGCCTTCACCGCCTCGCCCTTCCAGCTCGCCAGTGCCTCCTTCACCGTCATCGTCACGATGTCCCAGCGGTGCTCGGGGTCGGCGTGAATGTGGGTGTCGAGCTCCGGCAGGTCGACGTCATCTTCGGCGTCGTCGTACGTCAGGTCATCGTCGGCGTCGTCGAACACTGTGGTGAAGGCAGCCAGTGGCAGACAGGCGTGGTAGCTCAGCCAATTTGGTGGCCTCCGAGTTCGACCTGAGCGTCGCAGCTCAGGCTCTGAGCATTGCAGTTCAGGCATCTCCACCGCCGACAGCTCCCCTTCCTCGTCGACATTCTCGTCGTTAACGAGCTGCTTTGACCCTTCGACCGGCTGCTCCCCTCTCGTCGGCCCTCCTGCCGACTTCTCCTTCGTCGACAGCTCCCCTGTCGACTGTCCGGTCTGCTGTTCCCCTGTCGACTGGACTTCTGATGCTGCCTTCTTCTGCACCGGCTCCCCTGTCTGTTGTTTCCCTGTCGTCGACGGCTGCACATCCTCGTTGATGAGCTTTGCGTCTCGTCGGCCGCTGGCGATGCCGCTGGCCGGCGCCACAGGTGACGCCTGAAGGCTCCCCTCATCGCCGGCGGCCGACACTGGTGTCGATGCAGGCCGATCTGCGACGGGGTGGGGAGGAGCAAGAACAGGGGGCGGAGGGAGGACTTCCTCGACGTCCTCATCAGCGGGCTCGTTGACCTCGGTGAGCAGTGGGAACGTCGCCATCGAGGTGTCCGTCGGCGGGTGTGCCTACGTCCGCCCCGACGCCGGCCCATACTTCGTTTTCCACACCTCGAGCAACGGCATCTCGTAGAAGATCACCTCAACCGACGTGACCACCTTGTTGTCGGTCAAGTCCACCGCCTCCCAGCCCTTGCTCTCCTGCGACACGCCCAGGTGAAGTCCCCGGCAAGCCTTCGGCGCCAGCTTCCCACCGCCCTGCAGCTCGGGGACCATGAACTGCACCATGCAGCCCCACACCCGCGCCAGCGTGAGGTCGGGCTTCTTCCCGGTCAGCAGATGGTACGGGGTCGTCCCCGGCGGCGTCGTCGACCGCTCCAAGCAGTTGCGCACCGAGACGGCCTGTCGCAGGGCAAGGTGCCCCCAGTGGTGCTACACGCCCATGTGCAGCAGCATCGTCCGCACGGACTCGACGACCGTGCGCATCTCCCGCTCAGCCATGCCGTTCTGCTGCGGAGTGTAAGGGCACGTCAGGTAGTGGACGATGCCCTTCCCGTCGACGATGTTGGTGAACTCCTTCCCGAGGAACTCCCCTCCCCGGTCTGAGCGGAGCATCAGCACCGACTTCTTCGTCTGCCGTTCCACCAGCACCAGCCACTTCGCGAACTCCCGCAGCACGTCGCTCTTCTTGCGACTGGCACCACCCATACAAACCGAGTGTGGCGATCTTTCACCAGGAGGAAGTACAAGCTGCCATCCTTGGCAGCCACCCGAAATGGCCCGCACAAGTCAATGTGCATGACAGCCAGAGCCTCCTCGGCGTCCAAGCCCTTGCCGGGGAAGGTGTGCCGCGCCAGCTTTCCTCCGACGCACGAGACACACGGCGGGTCCGCTCCGGTCGACGGCTTGATGTCGAGCCCAGTAGCAACATCATGCTTCGCCGAGCTCTTGATCGTGTCGACGCCGACGTTCGCGAGCCTCGCGTGCCAACGGTCAGGGGTCGACTTCGTCGCCGAGGCTATCGTCCGCAGAGCCACCACCTCGGTCGACGGCGACAGCGTCGAGCAATGGCAAAGGTCGGTGCAGAGGACTCGGCCGGTGTAGCGTGCTCGGCCGAGCACTTTCCCGGTCACGGAGACGAGCAGCGTCTCGTCGCCGTCGCCCTGCAGCTGCACTCCGTTCTCCTGCAGCTGGCCAGCTGACAGCAGGTTCGCCTGTACTCCCGGAACTTAGAGCACGTCTGGGATGAGGACCCGCTTCCCGGCCTCCTCTTGTAGAGCGACGGTTCCGCGACCCTCGACTGGCTGCAACGCCCCATTGAATCCACGCACGTG